TGGGGGCCGCTATTTTGCAAGAAGGGGAAGATGGTCGTTTACACCCCCTCGCATTTGTGTCTAAAAAGTTTTCTGACGCTGAACGAAACTGGGGGATTTGGGAGAAGGAGGCGTCAGCGATCCGGCTGGCTCTCTCCACTTGGAGGCAGTGGTTGGAGGGGGCGCAACTGCCATTTGAAGTCTGGACTGACCATAAAAATCTGGAAATGCTGAAATCCCCCCGTTCTCTCAACGCTAAACAACTTCGTTGGGCGGACTTCTTTGCTAAGTTTCGATTCACTCTTCGTCATTTCCCTGGGACGGCTAATTCCCTGGCTGACGCGCTCTCACGCCTCCCACAACATGACAGTCAGCGTGAAATCATCATGGACTCTGTTTTTTCCCCCTCCCACCTGGGGGGGGCTGTGGTCACCCGTGCGCAAGCGCGATCGATTCCGCGCTCTGATGAAACTTCGCCTTCCCTTTTCCCTGGGGGGGGGGCCTGGGTCCAGAAATATATGTCTGCTTTTACTGCTGATGATGATGCCTCCCTGAAAACGTTGCCAGATTGTGTCCGTAGCCCTGAAGGTCTGATTTATTCTGGAGACAAACTGTATGTGCCTATTTCGATGAGGAGGGAGGTGATGGAGTCTGCTCACGGTTCGAAACTGGCAGGGCATTGGAGTTTTGTTAAATCTCTGCAACTCATCCGCAGACAGTTCTGGTGGCCACAAATGCGCAAAGACCTCTTGACTTTTGTTCGATCCTGCAAACCCTGTGCCTTAACTAAACCCAGGAGGGGCAAGCCTCCTGGTCTTCTGCAGCCACTCCCTACCCCATCGAGACCGTGGGAAGTGGTGTCCATGGACTTTATTACTGACCTCCCTGCGAGCAAAGGGAACACTGTTATTTGGGTGGTTGTTGATTTATTTTCTAAGCAAGCTCATTTTGTGCCTTTTCCTTCCTTGCCTACAGCTCAGAGGTTGGCGAAATCGTTTATGTCTCACGTGGTGAAAATTCATCAATTACCTGCTAAATTAATTTCTGACAGGGGGACCCAATTTGTTTCTAAGTTTTGGAGGGAACTTCTTTCCATTTTAGGGGTGGAACAAGGGCTCAGCAGCGCGTATCATCCTGAGACTGACGGACAAACAGAACGAGTTAATCAGACCCTGGAGCAATATCTTCGTTGTTTTACTAATTATCAACAGAATGATTGGTGTGAATTGTTGCCTCTTGCTGAATATTGTTATAACAATACTGTCCATAGCTCCACGGGCATGTCTCCTTATAAAGCTGTCTCTGGTTACGACAGCCCCCCCTCCCTTTCCTGGAGGGGATGGGCCAACGTCCTGTGGGGGATGCTGATACATGGTGTATGTCCTTGCAAAATGCATGGCCTCTGCTATGCCAAACGCTTGACGCAGCCAAGGCTGCTTACAAGACCCAGGCAGACAAGGGTAGGGTGGTGGGGTTTGATCTGAAACCTGGGGATCTTGTGTATGTCTCGACCAAGAACATTAAGATGCTGCGGCCTAGCAGGAAATTGGGGTGGAAGTTCATAGGTCCATTCAAAGTGCGTAAAGTCATAAATGATGTGGCGGTTGATGTTGTTTTGCCTAAGAATTTACGTGCTCTGCATTCTGTTTTTCACATGAGCCTGTTGAAGAAGGATCCTGGCCCGTCTCCCTGGAGACCAGCAGTTACTCCTCCTCCACCTGTCATTTTGGAAGGGGATGAACATTTTGAGATCGCTGATATCCTTGATTGTAAATTAAAACGTGGTAAACTCTGGTACCTTATTGAATGGGTTGATTTCGGTCCCCAGCACCGCGAATGGGTGGAAGAAGGGGATATTCGGGCCCCTTACCTGATCCGTAGTTTCCACAGGAGGTTCCCGGACAAACCGGGAGGTCCCCCGCCCAGCCCGGGAGATCTCCCGCCCGACCCGGGAGGTGTGTTTTCAGATGTATTTTAAGGGGGGCAGTATGTCAGCAAGCTGCCATTCTGTTTTGTGTGACCTCTGTGTACATATCCTTACCCTGTTGCACCCGGCTTGTTTTCTATCATCCTGCTCCTGTGCTGGAATGCATAAGATAACTACTGGAGGATGTGTGGGGGAGAAGATGCTGTAATGCTTGCCTATTGCTTTTCTCATGAGAACTGCACCTGTGTTTTGTCTGATGTTCTGCCTGGTTCCCATGGACTGGGCGCGCAACCGTTTCATTAGCCCGCCAGCGGGAATGTTATTCATTGGATAGGTATCTGTTTGAATTTCCTTTATTATGCTTGACCTACCTGTGTATCCCCAGTTCTAACAAAGAACGTGTTTGAGTATGTCTTCAACGCTTTGAAATAAATTTTGCTTTTCTTGAAAACGTGGATTTATTCTCGATGCTTGGGGATCCAACAGAAGCTAAGCAAGGTTGGCTCTGGTGTCAGCGTTTGGATGGGGGACCCCCAAGGCCGTCCAAGGTTGCTACGCAGAGGCAGGTGATGGCAAACGACCTCTGTTCATCTCTTGCCTGGAAAACCCCACAGGGGCGCCCATAATTTGGCTGTGACGTGACGGCACTTCCCACTACTACCACGCGTGTCGTGCACATTTCAACAACGAGACGCAGGAGCTCCCCTGGACAGACCAGAGACGGAAGGTGGAAGCCACTTGGCGGGCAGAATCCAGGCCTGGGTTGCTGCATGCCAGCCGCCCCACCCTCTAGAAGGACTAACCGAGGAGGCTGACCCCTGCCCTTGGAGTGGGAATGAGGGCCAGTGGGCAGCCGTGTCCACATCCCGCGACTTGTTTTGTGACCATCACTGGCCAGAGTCCTTTGAAAAGGCGTGGTTTCATTGTGTCAGCTTTTGCTCTTTCCAGAAAGATGTCCAGTAAATCTTGCGAGCAAGCAAAATAAATACGGTTTGAACTATTCCGGTGCTGGCAGTCAAGGACAGCCATTTAACTTTTTTGAAAGAAGAAGAGTTGGATTTATACCCTGCCTTTCACTTAGCGTCTCAGAGCAGCTTACGGTCACCTTCCCTTCCTCTCCCCACAACAGACACCCTGTGAGGTAGGCGGGGCTGAGAGACCTCTTGAGAGAACAGCCGGGGTGATTTCCTGCAGGAGCGCAGCTCTGGCAGTAAAGAGCCCAGGGGGCGGGCACATGCAACAAGCCCCGCCCCCTGCTCCCAGCAGCCCCGGGCCACAAGGAGCAAGAAGCCGCCCTCCTTGTTTCCTTCTCCTTCTTTCCCTCTTTCCCGCCTTGTTTCCTTCTCTTTCTTTCTTTCTCTCCTTCCTTCCTTTCTGCACAGATCTATGCATTCCCCTCCCCCCAGCTAGCAATCCAAAAGAGTCCAGTGGCACCTTTGAGGCCACGTTTTATTCAGGTACAAGCTCTCCCTCCTCTGTGAGGGCAGATCTGCGCATCCCCCCCCCCCGCTAGCAACCCAAAACAGTCCAGTGGCACCTTTAAGACCAGGTTTTATTCAGGTACAAGCTCTCCCTCCTCTGCGAGGACAGATCGGCACGTTCCCTCCACCCCCCAATAGCTAGCAATCCAAAACAGTCCAGTGGCACCTTTAAGACCACGTTTTATTCTGGTACCAGCTCTCCTTCCTCTGTGAGGGCAGATCTGCACGTTCCCCCCCCCCCAATAGCTAGGAATCCAAAACAGTCCAGTGGAGCCTGAGTGGTGGGTGTTGCCTTCTGACACACTTCCGGTGATGTCAGGGGGTGTGACATATGCTAATGAGTTATGCTAATGAGTTATGCTAATGAGCTTCTGCACTTCTTTTTCTATGAAATGACCCCTGAGAACAGCTCTGGGAGAACTGTGACTGACCCAAGGTCACATCAGCAGGTGCAAGTGGAGGAGTGGGGAATCAAACCCGGTTCTCCAGATTGTAGAGTCCACCACTCTTAACTACCACACCAAACTGGCACAACACATCTGAAGACTACAACCATGAAGGGCAAGAGGCCACCTGCTTCATTTCACAGAATCAGATTGTGTGGCCACAGTTGTGGGTTTGTGGCAGGAGGACGGTGAATGGGCCTGGCCGGAGGGCTTGGCATGAGGTGCCACCACAGGGGAGACCGGACCTTCTCCAGGTGGGATGTGGCAGAGCATAAGAACATAAGAACATAAGAGAAGCCATCTTGGATCGGGCCAATGGCCCATCCCATCCAACACTCTGTGTCACACAGTGGCCAGAAATACCAGGGGCCAGCAGGAGGTCCAGCAGTGGGGCCAGGTCACTAGAAGCCCTCCCAATGTCGGCCCCCCAAGCACCAAGAATACATAGCATCCCTTGCCCCAGACATAAGAAAAGCCAATGTTGGATCAGGCCAATGGCCCACCCAGTCCAACACTCTTGTGTCACACAGTGGCCAGAAATACCAGGGGCCCTCAGGAGGTCCAGCAGTGGGGCCAGGACACCAGAAGCCCTCCCACTGTTGCCCCCCCCCAAGCACCAAGAATACAGAGCATCCCTTGCCCCAGACATATGAACATAAGAGAAGCCAATGTTGGACCAGGCCAACAGCCCACCCAGTCCAAATCTCTGTGTCACACGGTGGCCAGAAATACCAGGTGCCATCAGGGAGGTCCAGCAGTGGGGCCAGGACGCCAGACGCCCCTCCCACTGTTGCCCCCCCCCAAGCACCAAGAATACAGAGCATCACCTGCCCCAGCCTGAGAGTTTCTATCTATACCTTGTGGCTATTAGCTCTGCTGCCTGCAGGAGGCGCTGTTCCCCTCCAGCCATGTGCAGCAGTAAACAAAGCAAATTGTTAGCGGTGCTGCCCACCCCCAGCGCCCTCCCCTTCGAGGGAAACCAAGCCTGGGTTGCAGGGCCCCAGGAACTGCGCGCTTTGCTCAAGGAAGGGGGGAGACCCCACCCCAGCGGCAGTTCAGAAGGAGCAGGGGAGGAAAGCCAGGCACGGCTCTCGCCCCCGAAGCAGCAATCCCAATCCGTTGGGGGGGGGGGAGTTGCATCACCTCCGGGTGTCCTCCCCCTCCCACTCGGCCGCCCCTCCCCCCTGGTCAGCCGCCTGGGGGGGGAAATGGAGCAGGAAGAGGGACTCGTAGCACAGGGGGAAGGGGGGCGGGGGCAGCAGGGCGCAGTCGGGCCCAGCCAGGTCGACCATCAAGATGGCCCCCAAGTCAGGGGAGGCCATGTAGAGAAGCCCCTCTAGGGCCAGGCCCTGCCCGGCCAGGCCGCACTTGGGCAGAGACCGGAGGGGGCCCCACTGTCGGGAGGCCACGCTGAAAGAGGTCACCACGTTGCCGCGAGAGTTGCCGCCCACCACAAAGAGGGGCTCCGTGCCGCCCAGGAAGTAGAGCCCAGGAAGGTCAGCGTCCGCCCGGGTCAGCGTCGGCAAGAGCTCCTGCCAGGCATCTGCAAGGAGAAGAGCGCAGGAGGGTCATTCGCCAGGCCGGACCCAGACCCCCATCCCAGGTCTGGCCTGCAGAAGGACGTCAGAAGAGCCCTGCTGCGCCAGACCACTGAGGGTCCATCCAGTCCAGCATCCCGTCTCACACAGTGGCCAACCAGCTCCTCTGGAGCTCCAGCAACATGGCATAGAGGACCACGTCTTCCCCTGATGGTGCTTCCTGGCTCTGGGATCCAGAGGCTGAGTGCCTCTGAATGTGGAGATTCCCCTCAGCCACCATGGCTAGTCGCCACTGATAGACCTCTCCTCCATGAATCTGTCTAATCCCCTGTTAAAGCAGTTTATTCCTGTGGCCATCATTATATCCTCTGGCAACAAACTCCACATTTTAATCATTCGCTGCGTAAAGTGGTGTTTCCTCTAGCCTGTCCTGAACCTACTGCCCATCAGCTTCATTGGATGCCCTCGTGTTCTGTTATTTCGGGATAGATCCAAGATGGGTAGCTGCCTGTAGCAGGAGGAAAGTGCAAGAGTCCACCTTAAAGACTCACAAAGTCTGTGGTGGGGTAGGAGCTTTTGTGAGTCACTTCAGATACCTGGTAGCTGAAGAAGTGGGCAGGGACACACAAAAAGCTCATCCCCTGCCACAGTATTTTAGGAGAGGCAGAAAAATTCCCCTTTGTCAACTACACTCTTCCCCCTCCCTGCATAATTTTCTAAACCCCTCTCTCATCCCCCCCCACTTGGAAATACCAGCCATAGCAGTTGGGGAAAGGGGGGGCAGGTGGGAGGGCAGGAGGAGGGGTTGAGTGAAGGATGCTCTGGCAGATGCAGGGCAAGCAGGCGGCGGGGTGGGGGCAGGGTGGAGACAGCTGCCAACCAGGTGTGTGTGTTATGGTGGTGAGTAGGTGGGCCCCCCTGCATACTGTCTTCTCAGCACCCCCTAAACCTGTAACCAGCTCTGCCTAGTGGCCTCCAGCACGGGCACGTCTGGATTGCAGAACCGGGGAAAGAGGCCTCCCCCGGGTCCTTTGTGAACACCAGGAAACTGCGTTGCGCCCTTCCAGAGATGGGGCCCAAGAACCCACCGGCAAAGAAGGGCTCCCCCCCCCCCAATGGCTTGTGCCGGCCTCCCTCACCAGCGTCCACATCGTAGCGCAGAAGGAGTTTCTCCCCAGTGCGCTGCACCGTGCCCAGTGTGTAGATGGACCCGGCGTGTGCCGTGCAGAGCGGCAGGTCGTGGGAGAGCGAGATGGCGAAGGAGAAGTCCCCCATGGGCAGGGAGGAGACGAAGGCCCAGCGGTCGGCCCAGGGGTCGTAGCGCTCGACGGCTGTGTAGAGGCAGGTGCTGCTGTCCGGGGCCAACAGGGAGTCCAGGTACCAGCCCCCGATGGCGTAGATGTGATGCCCAACCACAGCAGTGCTGAAGTGCCGTCGGCGCTGTGGGGAGAGCAGGTGGTGAGGGGTCCGGGCAGAGAGCCAGAGGAAGGCCAGTGGGAGGGCCTGAGATTGAGAAGCGTCACTATCTATAGGGGGGCGGTGCCAGTGTCCCCTCTAAGCTGACTGAGTGTGAGCCAGCTCACAGTTCTTTAGCCTCCGGCTCACACATTTTCATCTTGGCTCAGGAAGGGATGGCTCCAGAGCAAAGTAATTTATGCAGCAGCCCAATCACTCGCTCACGGCTTTAAGGCCAGGAGCTCTCAAAGCAGAATTTTTGCTCACAAGACTCCGCAGCTTAGAGGGAGCTTTGGACAGTGCTTCGTTACAACAAAAGGTGGCACTCTACCGCAAGGCCATGCGGCTGCAATCTAGGCATGCTACCACAGCACACTTGTGCATTTCCCTGCAGGGTGCGTGCACAGAATTACAGCCACTTCCCGTGGCACTTAGAAGCCCATGGAGAGTGGCAGGAAAAACCCATGAACTGCCTGTTTCTGGCAGCCAAACGGAGGATGCATGAATTTCTGACCTGCCCTGATTTCCCTGAGTTGCTCCTGCTGGAATGGTGGGAAGGATTTGTCCTGGGGGGGTGGGTGGGACTCAGTGCCAGATTTACGCATAAGCTAAATAAGCTACAGCTTAGGGCCTCGCAATCTGCTGGGGCCTCAAATAAAAACACAATATAAAAATGATTTCAAATATTAAAAAGGCGTATATATTTTAAATTTTTCTGAGACCAGCAGATGTAATTTAAAACATTAGGGGGCCTCTGGGTTTTGTATCGCTTGGGGCCTCAGCAAGTCTAAATCCAGCCCTGGTGGGACTGGATGCCCTTTGGCCCCTCCCAGTTACATTCAATACTCCCTCTAAGCTGTGGAGTCTTGTGAGCAAAGATTCTACTTTGTGAGCTACTGGCATTAAAGCTGTGAGTGAGCGATTCGGCTACTGCATGAAATAGTTTGCTCTGGAGCCCTCCTTCCTGAGCGAAGACAAAAAATCTGTGTGAGCCGGAGGCTAAAGAACTGTGAGCCAGCTCACACGGACTCAGCTTAGAGGGAACACTGGTTGTGTGACTAAACCCCCTGAGGAGCGTCTGAGGCACTGGCTCCAATGCTCCCTCTAAGCTGTGGAGTCTTCTGAGCAAACATTCTACCTTGTGAGCTCCTGGCATGAAAGTTGTGAGCGAGCGATCTGGCTACTGCATAAATTAATTTGCTCTGGAGCCCTCCTTCCTGAGCTGAGACAAAAATGTGTGAGCCGGAGGCTAAAGAACTGTGAGCTAGCTCACACTCACTCAGCTTAGAGGGAACACTGGTGACATTCTTTCTTCCCAAACTAGATTCGCCCCTCCCCCTCCCCCAAGCTTCTGAGCCCCTTTCCTGTGGGGGGGGGGGGTCACACATGCATTCGGGTTCTTTGGGTTAGGAGATCAGCCCAGGTCAGGCGCCTCCTCTCCCGGAGTGAAAATTTGCCGAAGGCTGCATGGGCCTCTTAGTGGTCCAGGAAGCGGGGCGGGGGGGCTGCTGTCAGCTGTTAGGAGCCTGAGGGGGGGGGACCACCCTGCCGAGGGGACGGGATCCAAGCAGGGAACTGACCTTCTGGGGCGAGGCCGTGGGGTGCCAGACACCCGTCAGGGGGTTGTAGCGGAAAGCTGCCGTGCGGAAGAAGAACCCCCGAGCCCCCCGCTTCTCCCGGTAGCCCCCCATGATGAAGAGGTAGTTGAGCAGCTGGGCGGTGCTGAAGCTCCACTTGTCGGCCTGGAAGGGCAGGTGGGTGGCGCAGTGCCAGCCCCCCTCCTCTGGGGGCAGCGGGCGGCAGTAGAGGCCCCGCGTGGGGGGTTGCTGCCGGGGGCCCCGGGTCACGTTCTCCTTCTGCAGGACGCAGAGCTTGGGGGGGCCCTGCAGGCGGAGCCCGGCCAGCTCTTCTCGCAGCCGTGGGGGCAACTGGTGGGTGACGGGCGCTGCCAGCTCCAACAGGTGGGTGCTCAGGTACCCGCACACCTCGGCCCGCAGCTCAGGGCAGCCCACGGCCTCCGCAAAGCGCAGGTAAGACAAGCAGTTCTGGGGGCCCAGCAGCGGGCGCAGAGCCAGCCGGCACCGGTCCAGGAATCCAGGCAGCAGGAGGTAGCTGGCCGCCTGCACGGCCGGCAGGAGCTCATCTTCGGCCAGGCTGAAGCGCCCGAGGAACACCCACTGCAGGATGGCGTGGAAAGCAGGCGAGGGCACGTGGTCCAGGCGGAGGTGCCCACCCACTGCCTCCTGCATGCCCGATCGAGAGAGAGCCTGGAAGTAGGCGCTCTCCCCCGCCAGCTGGGCCAGATCCACCTGTCAGGAGAGAAGGAGAGAAGGAAGGAAGGAAGGAAGGAAGGAAGGAAGGAAGGAAGGAAGGAAGGAAGGAAGGAAGGAAGGAAGGAAGGAAGGAAGGAAGGAAAGAAAGAAAGAAAGAAAGAAAGAAAGAAAGAAAGAAAGAAAGAAAGAAAGGTCAAGAGCAGCGTTGCCTCTAAGCGGAGTTAGTGTGAGCCAGCTCACAGTTTTTTAGCCTCCGGCGCACACAGAGCAAACTAATTTCTGCAGCTGCCAAATGGCTCGCTCACAAATTTAATGCCAGGAGCTCACCAAGTAGAATTTTTGCTCAAAAGACTCCACAGCTTAGCGGGAGCACTGGTCAAGAGCCTGGGAGGCAACAGCCAGTGGGGGATGTCTTGGGGGAGATGGAGGCAGGGAAAGTGAACACACACACGAATCAGGCCTTTGGTCCATCAAGGTCAAGCTTGTCTGCTTTCCAGGGTCTCAGGCGGAGGTCTTTTCCAACTGAAGATGCTGCCAGGGACTGATCCTGGGACCTTCTGCATGCCAAGGGGCCGTGGCTCAGTGGCAGAGCCTCTGCTTGGCATGCAGAAGGTCCCAGGTTCAGTCCCCGGCATCTCTAGTTAAAAAAGGACCAGGGAGGAGGTGATGGGAAAAGCCTATCTCCGCCTGAGACCCTGGAGAGCTGTCAAGAGGGGCCGTGGCTCAGTGGCAGAGCCTCTGCTTGGCATGCAGAAGGTCCCAGGTTCAGTCCCCGGCATCTCTAGTTAAAAAAGGACCAGGGAGGAGGTGATGGGAAAAGCCTATCTCCGCCTGAGACCCTGGAGAGCTGTCAAGAGGGGCCGTGGCTCAGTGGCAGAGCCTCTGCTTGGCATGCAGAAGGTCCCAGGTTCAGTCCCCGGCATCTCTAGTTAAAAAAGGACCAGGGAGGAGGTGATGGGAAAAGCCTATCTCCGCCTGAGACCCTGGAGAGCTGTCAAGAGGGGCCGTGGCTCAGTGGCAGAGCCTCTGCTTGGCATGCAGAAGGTCCCAGGTTCAGTCCCCGGCATCTCTAGTTAAAAAAGGACCAGGGAGGAGGTGATGGATGGGAAAGACCTCACCTAGAGACCCTGGAGAGCTGTCAAGAGGGGCCGTGGCTCAGTGGCAGAGCCTCTGCTTGGCATGCAGAAGGTCCCAGGTTCAGTCCCCGGCATCTCTAGTTAAAAAAGGACCAGGGAGGAGGTGATGGGAAAAGCCTATCTCCGCCTGAGACCCTGGAGAGCTGTCAAGAGGGGCTGTGGCTCAGTGGAAGAGCTTCTGCTTGGCACGCAGAAGGTCCCAGGTTCAATCCCCGGCATCTCTAGTTAAAAAAGGACCAGGGAGGAGGTGATGGGAAAAGCCTATCTCCGCCTGAGACCCTGGAGAGCTGTCAAGAGGGGCTGTGGCTCAGTGGAAGAGCTTCTGCTTGGCACGCAGAAGGTCCCAGGTTCAATCCCCGGCATCTCTAGTTAAAAAAGGACCAGGGAGGAGGTGATGGGAAAAGCCTATCTCCGCCTGAGACCCTGGAGAGCTGTCAAGAGGGGCTGTGGCTCAGTGGAAGAGCTTCTGCTTGGCACGCAGAAGGTCCCAGGTTCAATCCCCGGCATCTCTAGTTAAAAAAGGACCAGGGAGGAGGTGATGGGAAAAGCCTATCTCCGCCTGAGACCCTGGAGAGCTGTCAAGAGGGGCTGTGGCTCAGTGGAAGAGCTTCTGCTTGGCACGCAGAAGGTCCCAGGTTCAATCCCCGGCATCTCTAGTTAAAAAAGGACCAGGGAGGAGGTGATGGGAAAAGCCTATCTCCGCCTGAGACCCTGGAGAGCTGTCAAGAGGGGCTGTGGCTCAGTGGAAGAGCTTCTGCTTGGCACGCAGAAGGTCCCAGGTTCAATCCCCGGCATCTCTAGTTAAAAAAGGACCAGGGAGGAGGTGATGGGAAAAGCCTATCTCCGCCTGAGACCCTGGAGAGCTGTCAAGAGGGGCTGTGGCTCAGTGGAAGAGCTTCTGCTTGGCACGCAGAAGGTCCCAGGTTCAATCCCCGGCATCTCTAGTTAAAAAAGGACCAGGGAGGAGGTGATGGGAAAAGCCTATCTCCGCCTGAGACCCTGGAGAGCTGTCAAGAGGGGCTGTGGCTCAGTGGAAGAGCTTCTGCTTGGCACGCAGAAGGTCCCAGGTTCAATCCCCGGCATCTCTAGTTAAAAAAGGACCAGGGAGGAGGTGATGGGAAAAGCCTATCTCCGCCTGAGACCCTGGAGAGCTGTCAAGAGGGGCTGTGGCTCAGTGGAAGAGCTTCTGCTTGGCACGCAGAAGGTCCCAGGTTCAATCCCCGGCATCTCTAGTTAAAAAAGGACCAGGGAGGAGGTGATGGGAAAAGCCTATCTCCGCCTGAGACCCTGGAGAGCTGTCAAGAGGGGCTGTGGCTCAGTGGAAGAGCTTCTGCTTGGCACGCAGAAGGTCCCAGGTTCAATCCCCGGCATCTCTAGTTAAAAAAGGACCAGGGAGGAGGTGATGGGAAAAGCCTATCTCCGCCTGAGACCCTGGAGAGCTGTCAAGAGGGGCTGTGGCTCAGTGGAAGAGCTTCTGCTTGGCACGCAGAAGGTCCCAGGTTCAATCCCCGGCATCTCTAGTTAAAAAAGGACCAGGGAGGAGGTGATGGGAAAAGCCTATCTCCGCCTGAGACCCTGGAGAGCTGTCAAGAGGGGCTGTGGCTCAGTGGAAGAGCTTCTGCTTGGCACGCAGAAGGTCCCAGGTTCAATCCCCGGCATCTCTAGTTAAAAAAGGACCAGGGAGGAGGTGATGGGAAAAGCCTATCTCCGCCTGAGACCCTGGAGAGCTGTCAAGAGGGGCTGTGGCTCAGTGGAAGAGCTTCTGCTTGGCACGCAGAAGGTCCCAGGTTCAATCCCCGGCATCTCTAGTTAAAAAAGGACCAGGGAGGAGGTGATGGGAAAAGCCTATCTCCGCCTGAGACCCTGGAGAGCTGTCAAGAGGGGCTGTGGCTCAGTGGAAGAGCTTCTGCTTGGCACGCAGAGTGGGGAATCAAACCTGGTTCTCCCAGATTAGAGAACATAAGAACATAAGAACATAAGAGATGCCAATGTTGGATCAGGCCAAAGGCCCATCCAGTCCAACACTCTGTATCCCACAGTGGCCAGAAATACCAGTGCCATCAGGAGGTCCACCAGTGGGGCCAGGACATTAGAAGCCCTCCCACTGTTGACCCCCCCCCAAGCACCAAGATGACAGAGCATCACTTGCCCCAGAGTCCCTATCTATACCTTGTGGCTAATAGCCACTGATGGACCTCTGCTCCATATGCTTATCTAATTCCCTTTTGAAGCCGTCCATGCTTGTAGCTGCCACCACTTCCTGTGGCAGTGAATTCCAAGTGTTAATCACTCTTTGGGTGAAGAAGTACTTCCTTTTATCCGTTCTAACCCGACCGCTCAGCAATTTCATGGAGTGCCCACGGGTTCTTGTATTGTGAGAAAGGGAGAAAAGTACCTCTTTCTCTACCTGCTCTTTCCCATGCATAATCTTATAAACCTCAATCATGTCACCCCTCAGTCGTCGTTTCTCCAAGCTAAAGAGCCCTAAGCGCCTTAACCGTTCCTCATAGGGAAAGTGTTCCAACCCTTTTATCATTCGAGTTGCTCTTTTCTGCACTTTTTCCAAAGCTATAATATCCTTTTTAAGGTGTGGTGACCAGAATTGCACACAGTATTCCAGATGAGGTCGCACCATTGATTTATATAGCGGCATTATGATATTGGCTGATCTGTTTACAATACCCTTCCTAATAATCCCCAGCATAGCATTGGCCTTCTTTATTGCAGTCACACACTGTCTCGACATTTTCAGTGAGTTATCTACTACAACTCCAAGATCTCTCTCTTGATCTGTCTCTGCCAGTTCAGACCCCATCAACGTGTATTTATAGTTAGGATTTTTGGCTCCAATGTGCATCACCTTGCACTTGGCCACATTGAACCCCATTTGCCATGTTGACGCCCACTCGCCCAACTTTGACAGATCCCTTTGGAGTGCCTCACAATCCTCACTGGTTTTCACCACCCTGAACAACTTCGTATCATCCGCAAATTTAGCCACTTCACTGCTTACTCCCAACTCCAAATCATTAATGAACAAGTTAAAAAGCAGTGGACCAAGTACTGATCCCTGTGGTACCCCACTGCTTACACCCCTCCACTGGGAGAACTGCCCATTTATACTCACTCTCTGTTTTCTATTAATTAGCCAGTTTTTGATCCATAAAAGGACTTGTCCTTTTATCCCATGATTTTTGAGCTTACTTAGGAGCCTTTGATGAGGAACTTTATCAAAAGCTTTCTGGAAGTCAAGGTAAACAATATCTATTGGATCCCCCTTGTCCACATGTTTGTTCACCCCCTCAAAGAACATTAACAGGTTAGTGAGACAAGATCTTCCCTTACAGAACCCATGTTGAGTCTGCCTCAATAGGTTTTGTTCATCTATGTGCCTACTAATTCTTTCCTTAATAATGGTTTCCACCAATTTACCCGGTATCGACGTCAGACTGACTGGCCTGTAATTTCCCGGATCTCCTCTGGAACCCTTTTTAAAGATGGGAGTGACATTAGCTACCTTCCAGTCCTCAGGAATGGAGGCTGATTTTAAGGAGAGATTACATATTTTTGTCAGGAGATCCACAAGTTCACAATTGAGTTCTTTCAGAACTCTTGGATGTATGCCATCTGGGCCTGGTGATTTATCAGTTTTTAAGTTGTTTATCAGTTTTAGGACCTCCTCTCTCGTCACCTCAATCTGACTCAGGTCTTTCAACACCCCTCCCGAACTCAGCGGCTCTGGAGTGGGCAAGCACCTCTCATCTTCCACAGTGAAGACGGAGGCAAAAAATGCATTTAGCTTCTCAGCCATTTCCCTATCATCCTTCAGTACTCCTTTTACCCCTTGGTCATCCAAGGGCCCCACTGCCTCCCTGGCTGGTTTCCTGCTTCTAATGTATTTGAAGAAAGTTTTATTGTTGGTCTTTACATTTTTTGCTATATGCTCCTCATATTCCCTTTTTGCCTGCCTGACCACAGACTTGCATTTTATTTGCCATAGCCTGTGGTCTCAGTGGCAGAGGGGCCGTGGCTCAGTGGCAGAGCCTCTGCTGGGCATGCAGAAGGTCCCAGGTTCAATCCCCGGCATCTCCAGTTAAAAAAGGACCAGGGAGTAGGTGATGGGAAAAGCCTATCTCCGCCTGAGACCCTGGAGAGCTGTCAAGAGGGGCTGTGGCTCAGTGGAAGAGCCTCTGCTTGGCACGCAGAAGGTCCCAGGTTCAATTCCAGGCACCTCCAGCTAGAAAAGGACCGGGCAGGAGGTGATGGGAAAGACCTCCGCCTGAGACCCTGGAGAGCTGTCAAGAGGTGCTGTGGCTCAGTGGAAGAGCCTCTGCTTGGCACGCAGAAGGTCCCAGGTTCAATTCCAGGCACCTCCAGCTAGAAAAGGACCGGGCAGGAGGTGATGGGAAAGACCTCCGCCTGAGACCCTGGAGAGCTGTCAAGAGGGGCTGTGGCTCAGTGGAAGAGCCTCTGCTTGGCATGCAGAAGGTCCCAGGTTCAATCCCAGGCACCTCCAGTTAGAAAAGGACCAGGGAGGAGGTGATGGGAAAAGCCGTGGCCGTGGCTCAGTGGCAGAGCCTCTGCTTGGCATGCAGAAGGTCCCAGGTTCAATCCCCAGCAGCATCTGCAGTTAAAAAGGACCAGGGAAGAGGGGATGGGAAAAGCCTATCTCCGCCTGAGACCCTGGAGAGCTGCTGCCAGTCTGAGTAGACAGTGCTGACCTGGATGGACCAAGGGTCGGATTCAGTAGAGGGCAGCTTCCCGTGTGTTCCTGTGTGTGGTTCTTCTCTCCTGCGCAGCTGGAAAGGGCATAGCCAGGCCTGCCCACGGACCCCTCGATTCCCAGGGGGAACGGCCACCCACATACCTGGAAGCTGTAGGGCCGGGTGTGGACCGTGAGCAGCTCAGCTTCTGCGTCTCCTCCCCGGTAGACCCTCAGTCCAGGGCAGCTCTCCCAGGGCTCAGGAAGTGAGGCGGAGGCATTGCCAGGCCTTTTCCACGGGGAAGACACCAGGGCCCACAAGTGGCGGAGGGCACGGGACAGGCAGGCCAGCCCACGTGTGGCGAGAGGGGCCCAGGCCAGCCAGGCAGCTGCCAGAGAGAGCCCCTCCCCGGAGACGGCATGCAGTAGACCCCTGCGGGGCATGGCAGATGGGGTGTTTGTTCGTTTGCAGGCCGGGCTCTTGCTGGGGGCGGCATGCAGGCCGGAAGAGGCCTCTGCTCAGAGGCTGGAGCTATTTTTAGCCGGTCTTTACAGCGGAGAGAGCCAAGCCGCTGCCCCTGCTGGGCCTGGCTGGGCAATCGTCCCCAGGGCCACACACCCTGCGGGGGTGGCTGACAACCCGTCAATTGCTTTGCCAACCAGACACGAAGGCTCAACCACTGGGCCAAAGAGGCCCGGTCTTTCTCAAGGAAGATTCAAGCCGAACAGGGTGGCGAAGGACAAATACAAAAAACTCAACTGAAGTCAGGGGTGGCAGTGAAAAGGGGCACCATAGCTGTGCGGGGGGGGGGGAAGACTCTGTGGTGGGGCCCCCTTCCCTTGGTGCCCTGAGCCCCATGTGGGAGGGAGACCCCAGGGCTGCTGGGGCCAAACCTTCCCAGGACGCCCTGCAACCACTCCCCACACTGGGGCCTCCCCCCCCCGGGGTCTGGGGCTCTCCCCACACAGAAGCCACCACTGAAGGGGGGTGGGAGAATGCAACAATGCTTTTCCTGGCGGAGGGGGTGGGCTGGTCCACTCTTTTCACCCTTTGCAGAGACCCCCAACCCTTGCATTTCAAGAGGGTCTGGAACCCAGCTCTCGAAAGCCTCACCTGCAATGCACAGAGGTGTGTGTGTGTGTGTATGTGCAGGCCTTTTGCCTCAGCCCTCACAGACTCGTTCCCCCCATCCAGGCCTGTGCGGAGGGCCCTGTAATGTACTCCGCCATGACCACGTGCGCGACCGTTGGGCCATGTGGTCAGGCCGAACAGCAGAGCTTCGCTTCCAGGAGAACAATAGTCCAGCGGATCCTAGCCCGCACCTATCAGAGGGCCAGGTCCGCGGCCGAGAGCCTATGGGACTCTCGGCCACTGTAAATAGCCTATAGGGCCTTAGTGGGTGTGTTTTAGGTGGTGGGTTTCTGAGCATATAAGCCGGCCTGCGAGCCAGCTTACCTCGTCTTGTTCCTGCTTAATAAAAGTACTTTGCTGAAATCACTCAACGTTTCTCAGTACTTTTCACTGGCGACGAAGGTGGGATTCTACCTTCTCTGAACAGGACCCGGCCGAGATCAAGCCTGCACCGAGCTCCGACCGAGACCACCAACGCGTCCGCCGCTTCGTCTCGAAATCTCCGCTCATCGCAAGCACCTCGCTCCGTCAGCCAGCCAGCAATCCTCGGGCCTCCTCCGCCCCTCGCTTCGCATCGCTACCGGGAGCTCCGCTGCGCTCCACAACCCCGCTCGCCGCCGCCGATTGACGTTGCACCTCGTGGCTCTGCGCTACCGAACTAGCAAAGATGTCTTCTCCGGCCTCCACTCCGTCCGCCTCAGCCTCCACCTCCTCCGCCTCCACCTCATCCGAGGGCATCGCTCGCTTCGACCTCTCCCGTCCCGAGCAGTGGGAAACGTGGGTAGAGATCCTGGAGAACTACCTGAAGTGCCTGAACATCACCGATCCGGATATGAAGAGGGCCCATCTCATCCGTCTCTGTGGGATGGACACCCTCCTTCTCCTGCAGGATCTGATCGCACCCCGAAAGGTACAGGAGGAGAGCTTCGCAGAGCTGGTTAAGGCCCTCACAGCCCATCTCGCTCCGAAGCCGAACAAATTATCAGAGCGAGTGGTCTTCTTTGCGAGAGTCCAAGGTCCCGAGGAGAGAGCTGCGGAGTTCCTGGCGGGCCTCCGCCGAGCCGCCACACTGTGTGCTTTTCCAAGCCTGGACAACACGCTGCTAAATCAGTTCATCGTGGGCATCCGAGAGCCCAAGTTGCGCCGACGCCTGGTCAGGCAGGAAGATTTGACTCTGGACCAGGCCTTGAAGGACGCCGCGGCCTACGAGCAAGGTCGACAAGACCGCAGCGTGGTCCATCGCACATCGGAGTCGTCCGACTCCGAGGAAGATGAGGTGCTGCAAATCCGCCGCCAAACCGCAAAATCGCATCACTCGAGGGGAGCACCGCCAGCGAGGACGTATGACACAGCCCCACCATGTGCCAGCTGCGGAGAGGCGCATGAACGCCGGACCTGCCGTTTCCGGGACGCAGTCTACCGGGCCTGCAACAAGCAAGGCCACATCGCCAAGGTCTGCCGCAGCCGCCGACAGCAAAACACGAAATCGACGCACCAAGCAGAGCCGATCCACACCGTGGACCTTCACTCCATTCACCTCCATGCCGTGTCCCACCAGCCCCAGCCCCAGGTAGGTGAAGTGCTCCGGGACGGCCGAAACAAAGTCCACATTTCGGTCCGCATAGAGGGTTCCCCTTGTAGCATGGAGCTAGATACCGGCTCCGAGTTTACTATCATATCAGAGGAAACACTGCGGAGAGTGTGTCCAAAGGGGGGGGGCCCTCTGCGCAAGCCTCACTTTAGGTTACAAGATTTTAATAAAAATCCAGTGGCGGTCCGGGGCTGGGGCAAATTCATGGTGGAGTTTCAGGACTTCAAGGGACCTCTAGACATTCTGGTGGTGGGCGGCCGGCTTTCCAGCCTACTGGGGATGTCCTGGTTTAAGCCACTGGGTTTGACCATAGGAGGGCTCCACCAGTTGCAGCGGGGAGATTTTATGGACGTTTGCAATGAGTTTCCACAGGTTTTCGATGGGTCCCTCGGCAGATTCACAGGGGCACCCATCTCCCTGGACCTGGATCCAGCGGTCCGCCCCATCTGGATAAAGGCCCGGCTCCCACCCATTGCGATGAGGCCGAAGATCGAGGCGGAGCTGGACCGGTTGGTGGCACAGGGGGTGTTGGAACCGGTGGCATCCGCCCGGTGGGAGACTCCGATCGTCACACCCGTTAAGCCGAATGGGGACGTCAGGATCTGTGTGGACTACAAGTGCACTCTAAATAACTCCCCGAGTTCTGGTTCTGTGCCATTCCACTTGTGCATCCAGCAATAGGAGTGTTGGAGCTGCCCCTCTCCTGTGTGTTAAACCAAGTTAGAGTCCAGAGCAATGCTCCCTCTGAGCTGTGGAGTCTTGTGAGCAAAAATTCTACTCTGTGGGCTACTGGCATTGAAGTTGTGTGCGAGCGATTTGGCTGCTGCATCAATTAGTTTGCTCTGGAGCCCTCCTTCCTGAGCAGAGACAAAAATCTGTGAGCCGGAGGCTAAGAAACTGAGCTAGCTCACACTAACTCAGCTTAGAGGGAACACTGGTCCGGAGGCACCTTCAAGAGCAACAAAGCTTTATTCAAGTCAGCTGAATCCTACACACCAGACCCATGAGGGTCACTTCCTGCAGGCGCCATGCATCGGCCAGGATCTCTCGATTGGCCTGGGCCGGGAAAGAGACCGAAATAATCAAGAATTGAGGAGGGGGCTTCCAGGGAGATAACTCAGCTCCCCCACTCAATTTACTGCCTTGCAGAAATCCGCGATGGGTCAGTGGAGAAAGGGTGCCCTCTGGTGGTCCGATCGGTGCTCCTCTTGCTCAGCCCGCTTAGCTGCAAATCCGTGTGACATGCAACCCGGGCACCGCTTTGTGCTTTCCTTGCCCGGCCCCTGTGCCCGCTTGGCCAGCCCGCGGTGAGTCACACACCCTCTCCTGGAATGCAGGCGGCTGCCAGCCCTCTTGGATGCTGGGAACGCCCCTCCCCTCCTCCAGCGTTTCCAGGCCCAAACAAAGCGGCTTTATCTGTGCCAGAACAAAGTGAGAGTCCACGTCTGAAGAAGTGTGCCTTGCGCACGAAAGCTCGTACCTTGAATAAACCTTTGCTGGACTCGAACGTTGATCGGCTGCTTCAGATCAACACAGTGACCCCACCCAAATTTATTTTTGCCAGGCGTTTCTGGAGTCCCGAAGGAACTGCTAGGCAATGCTGGCCTCAGCCCCCCCCCCCCGCGACCCCCGGGGGGGGGGGACTGCTGGACTGGCCGGTGAGGCACACCACACTGCATCCATCATGGGGGAGAGGTGCCCAGGAAGCCCTCTCGGTGGCCTGCCCGTCTACCCCACCACACGTCTGTCCAGTGCAGCCTAAATGTTGGAAAGGGGGGGAAAAAGGTTTGCATTGCAAAATGTCAAAGTGCTGTTTGGCTTCAAGGAGAGCTCTTCACGGCCGCTTGCCTGCCAAGAGTCCCTACAAGAAGGGCTGTGGCTCAGTGTTAGAGGATCCACTTTGCACGTGGAAGGTCCCAGGTTCAATTCCCGGCATCTGGAAGTAAAGGGACCTGGCAGGAGGTGATATGGAAGAACGTTCTCTGCCTGGGAACCTGGCAAGCCTCTGCCAGTCTGAGTAGACAGCACTGACAGAAGAACAGAAGAGAAGCCAACGTTGGATCAGGCCAGTGGCCCCTCCAGTCCAACACTCTGTCTCACACAGGGACCAGAAATCCCAGGTGCCATCAGGAGGTCCAGCGGTGGGGCCAGGAAGACACTAGAAACCCCTCCCACTGTTGCTCCCCCCCCAAGCACCCAGAATACAGAGCATCCCTTGCCCCAGACCGAGAGTTCCTACCTGTACCTTGTGGCTAAGAGCCACCGATGGACTTCTGCTCCATAGGTTTATCTAATTCCCTCTTGAAGCTGTCCCTGCTTGGCGGACATGACCTCGAGGAATGGACGGTCAGATTCAGTCTAAAGCAGCCTGGAGTGTGTTGGTGCTGGGTCCCCAGTTCTGGTGCGTGCTCGATGCCAGCCAGGCCTCCAGGGTCTCCGTTATGGCAGGGGGCCCATCCCTGCCCCTTACCCACCTTTGCACTGAGGCACCCTAGTCCTCTCGCAGGGAGCCCTCCGAATTCCCATGGGGGGAGGTCCACCCAGCCAAGCCCAGGACCAAACCGCAATATGGCAAGCGGGTCAGGGGCCAGTGTCCAGTTCTGCCCTTCCCCCCGCCACCGCCTTCTCCTTCACTCCCACACAAGAACCTGGAGAGGCTTCTTCCAGAGCTAGCCTCCCACTACAGAAGCGGCTGGGGTCAGGCACTGCTTCCGGAGACAGTTCTTCCTGATCAGGCAACCCCGGGGAGGGGGGGAGCTGGGCACACCGACTCCC